AAATTGAACTCCAATAAAAAAATATACAAAAAAAAAAAAAAAAAGAAGGTTGTGGCTTTGGCTTCTCACTTCAGACCAGGGACTAGACTCTGGCTCAATGCTGACAGAGCCCAAGGTCCTGCCTGTTCAGTCCAGGAGGCCTGAAAAACTACAGGGGCCTCCATCTTAAGAACTTCATTTACCTCAATCCAAGACAGACCTCATAATCATACCTACTGAAGAAACAGATTAATAAAAGTAAGAAAAATCCTTTAACCGTGTCTCCCCATTCAGAGAGTTTATTTTCTCCAAGGTTTTCCTTGAGTATTTTCAGGCCCTCACAAGACAAAATCCTCAGTGTCTTGGTCTATGTTCTCTTTCCAGGCAAAAATAAATTTTAACGTAGCTGCATCTATAAAGAAGGGTGAAAGGAAGGACTGAAGTTGACAGTGAACTTGATCAGCATTCACTTCTAATCTGGGATATTTGGGGAAAGAAAAATTAAAACTAGAAGGTGTCTCCTAAGTGTCCCATTGCTACAGAGTCCCTACAATAGCATTTGCAAACTCTTGAGTGAGTTAATCAAACTCTTGATTGAGTTACAATAGCATTTGCAAACCAGCAGGAGGCAGCCAAAAGAGATGGAACTCCTCAGGAGGACTCTACCTGGGCAGCCTTGGGCCACAGTAAAAGAAGACTGGAACCAGAACCCTGGAAACCTCCCCCTACTCCTGCTTTTACCACTTCGTACACAGGTATCACTGGAAACCTTATCCTGGGAGGTGGAGCCCAGGAAATGACCCCATTGGAGGAGTCATCTTAAGTTAGGAAGGATCATTCATGAAGCACACTCAGCTAAATGTCCTAAGTGCTACACATGTGGCAGCTCCGTCACTTCATACCCAGCCTGAACCATAACCTTTATTGCCTTGTAAACTTGAGATGCCTCAGTCTGAGATATGTAATCACATTCTATTCTGAAACATAAATTCTGATGGTATTTACACAGTCCCAAGAAACATCTCTTTACACACCTTTCTAGTCACCCCCTCCCCGTGTAATTAAAGCTGTTGTTAAGTATTTTATCTATCTCATAGGCCATCATACTACTAAGGTCGTTCTCAGAGTTATTACAAGCTGTGTCAACTGCCTCACAAAACAATATTCTGTTTTCGGTGTCATTTGTCTATATCAATTTATCTATTCATTAAGAGGTAACAAATACTAAGATGATTTTGGTGCTTTTGTAACACAACTGTTGCAGATGTGGAGATGGTCAAAGCATGGGTGTGTATACGAAACCATTCCCATTTACTCCTGTGGTAGAGATTCCTAGTGCCTTAGTTTGATTTTGGCAATTTACAGGTCTCCTGAAGAATCCTCTTTGCTTCATGGACTACTAATACATTAGTATACACCTTCACATGCATTATCTCACTGAATGCTTACAACAATCTTGTCGAGTAGGCCCTTATTACAGCCGTTCTGCAGAAAGGAAACTGAGTCTGGGAGAAGTTAAATGCCTTGCCTGAGGTGAGAGCATGACAGGAGTGACACAGCCCACCTCAGACCCAGGATTTCCGACTCTGCATTACAGTATTTCAAAGCAGTCTCTTCATACCAGTTACTTCTGAAACAACAGAATACTGCTCAAGAAATATATTCCAAAAGGGGCCTTGTGGTTTCCTAAACTATAAAGACAAACTTTCTAGCTAGTCCCCTGTAGGAAAAGATCTCAGAACTCTGTCAATAAGAGGATTTTAAACCAGAGACACCAGACAGTGAACGCTTTGATTAAAAACAAAACAAAAAAAGACAAAAAAAAAAAAAACCAAAAAACCCAATACTAACATCGGTTTTGCAGGATCTAACTTCTGTGGGAGAAAACTATGTAGTGCACCATATCGTGTGTGTAGCAAAAGAAGCACTGCACTACGTACAATGAACACACACGCGTGTGTCCACGTTCTCCTCCCAAATGTGCTACAAAAGAAGTGAGAAGCATACTAAAATAAGACAATATTTATGGCTCCAGAAATTCGGCTTCACATAACAGCAATTATGAACAAGATATTCTCCCTAATAAAATTAACTGCAAGACAAAAATCTGGAGGAACTAAGTGCTTCCCTATGTCGTCTTTATTTTATTCCATGTGCTCGAGAATGGTTGCGGGGAAAGAAAGGCAGAGGAGAGTAAAAAAAAAAAAAAAAAAAAAAAAAAAAAAAAGAGCAGAAGGAGAAAGAGAGGCATAGCGAGACGGCCTCTGCTAAGGGGTTGGTTTTGCTTTAGAAACTGGAATGTGTCCAGGCTTGATTTTTTATTCTCAATTCACATTTCAGATCCAGCTCCCCAAACTCTTTGATCTTTCTCCCTGTCTCCTTACCCGGAAGAGAACCCTTGGCCTTCTCAGCTGGGAGCTGGGAGCACACGTGGAAAGACTGGCTCGGATCCATATTCTTGCCAAATTTAGTCACACAAAGGGGCCTGCGAGGGAAAAAAGAAAGGATGAAAGCTGCAGCCGCCACGACTTCAAAGGCCGTGCCGCCGAGCCGGGCCCTGCGCAGGCGCCGCCCTCCGAGGGTAGAAGGCGCGGCTCGCGCGCGCGGGGCAGCCTCTCCGCGCCGGGCCCCGCGCGTCCCCGGCCGGGGAGCGCGTGGAGGGGACCGGGCTGCGGAGGGCGGGGCCGGGGGGGCGGGCCGCCGAGCCCGTGCTAGTCTAGTCGCCGGGGCCGAGGCCCGTCCCCACGCCGAGTTAGGGCGCCCGAGAAAAGTTTTCAGACGCGCGGGAGAGGAATTTTACGTGCAGCCCACCACTAGGCAGGCTGTCCCGTCTGCAGCTTTCCTGCGGGTCGCACACCCATTCCACTCCATTCCAGACGTAGCCCCGGGTCCCCGTGGCGGGGGGGGGGGGGTTGCCAGGGGTTCCCGTTGCGTCCCAGCCTTGAAGGCGCGTGGCGGGGGGGCCCCCTCCGAACCCGCCGCCCCGTGTCCCCTGGTTCCCGAGCGGAGTCACCCCAACTTGACTCCTGTCGTTCCGGGCGGCCCCGGGGTGGGGGACAGAGGGTCTGCCGGTGCTAGACGGGATGGGGCCCTCCTTCGCGGGCCTCGGGAGGACACAGCTCCCCGGACCGGCGCGCCGCGGGCGCCGAGCTTGGCCCGCGTCCGCACGAGCGCGGGAGGAGCGGCGGGAGGGCCGGGCGGGGTCTCGGTGGGCGGGCGGCGCCACGCGGGGCCGAGCTGCGGGGGCCCTCGGGCGCCGGCCTCGCCGACGCCGGGAGCCTGCACGCGGCCGAATCTGGGAACCACATTTCCGCGGGGCTACGGATCGTCACCGCGGCGAGGGAGGGGGTTGCGTCGGTCTTAGGAGGAGACCCGAAGAGGCGGAAGAACCCCTGGGACACAAACGGCCCTTCAGCTCGCCCGCCTCCCCGCCCCCCTCCTCCTTCCCGCGGGGTCCCCTAAACTGGAGCGCCCCCAGCACTTGGTCTCCTGGCGACGCCCGGGGCGGGGAACCCGAGGGCGCCGGAGTCCCGTCCGTCTCTGCAATCCCAGTATTCGTTTTTTCTAGTTCTTCATCGTCCTTGCTCCTCGAGCATCCTCGAGCATCCGCTTGCGTTAGGCCCCCGCCACCTCCTTCTTTTGGGATCCCACCAAAGTTGTAGCTGGGGCAGAGAGTCCAGGCCACACAAAGGGGAAAACCCGGAGTCTGGGCGGGAGGTGAGGACCGAGGGGGCGGAGAGCGCTCCCAAGGGCACCGCGCGTTTCTCTCCTCCCTGTAATTAAGGACTCACTACCGAGTGCGTGTAGCCGCGTCCACTTGGCAGCAAAATCGCCGCCGGGGGGGGGGGTAGGGGTCTCTCCGTGAGGGGGGGGCATCCTCCCCGTTCCCCGGCCCCGCGTACCCTGCGGACCTCGGGGCCCGTCTCCGCCCCCACCCACCTCCACCCCCCACCCCCCGGTTCCGGCTCGGGGTGGGCGCCCGGTCCCCCACGCGCAGAGCCGGCGACGGCGCCCGGCACCGAGGGAAGTGTTGCTATCAAACAAGTCACCGTTCGCTCCCAAACTAAACCCAAACCAACCAAAGCCACCAAGAGGGGAAAAACCAACAGCAATCCAGCCAGCCCCTAGCAATTGTTTCACGGTCAGAATTAAATCACATCAAAACGCCCCCTGAAACCCACATCCTGAAGGAGTGAACCTGCAACAGCCAACCTCCAGTCGTTCGCTCGAGTTCACACGAACAACCCGCCTCTACATCCGAGGGAAGAGGGCGGCGGGCGGCGGCGGTTCTCCCGCGCCGCACCCACCACATCCCGGACTGTATGTGCACCCAAAGCAGCTGCATATATAATAGCAGCCCCCGCACGATTTCGGAAAGACCTCCCGGCGGCAGAAATGCCTTCTTTGGCTGGTACAGCGCCGAACCTGTTCGGGAAGAAGGACCGTCTTTCCTAGGGTTCCTTCACCCCTCCCGAAGGACCCCAGCTTCCCAGCACCGCCCCCCCCACACACACACCCGCCACCCCCACCCCAGGAAAGACAGACTTCGCGGGGAAACGTCCACCTCTCTCCCGGATAAAGCTTTAAATGAATTTGGACGAACGCTTTCTCGCCTCGCAAAGCCCCCGTTACGTTCAGCCCATCTCAAGATCTGCAGCAATGCTAGGGACAATCCGTCAACAACCGCACGCCGCAAGGAGGACAAACAGCCACAGAGAGAGCAAAGCGCTGGTGATTTCGTTAGAAACGTTTCCGTAAGAGAGGGTTACCGAAAAATTCCAAACAAAGCCACCTACCCTCGGTCCTTCTAGTGAACAGTTCCTACTAGTTATTATTCCCCAAACTCCCATCTCCTCGAGCTCCTAATCTCCAGGACACCTGGAGCTGAGCTCCCCAAAGACTCTGGGAGTCCAGATAATTAACATGAAGGAGAAAATGGGATTCGAATGAGTTGCAACACTTAAACAGGGAGATGTAGGAGTCGTCATTTAATCTCTCCTTGGCTCCCAGAAAATATTCTATGGCCATTCTGTGTGCCCCCGCCCCAATTCCACGCCCTCTCAATATTTTGATGAAAAGGAACCCTCACTCTGGCTACTTTGGTGAAACTGCATTTCCCAGCTCTTTTCCTACCAGCCAAATTGGCACATGTATTGGGAGGACTTTTGACTTTGCTTTCCCATATTTCTTTTAGAACAGAGGGTATTAATGTCTGACATAGCTACATGTTCACATCACCGGTACTTTACACTCGCATTGGTGCATGACTTCAAGGGAAGTTGACTACCGCCATCAATTAAAAAAAATGGTTTCTTTCCAATCTTTTTTTACTATTGTCTTACAGACATATTGTAGTAGAATATTCTTTTCTTCTTTAAGGCTTTGCATTGTCAGCTATTTAGAGTGTGTTTAATGTTTTACTCTTCCTGCCTTCCATCACTAGCTCCCTAATTTTGCCCCAATCCCCCAAATAGAATATGTGTGACAACTGACCATGCTGTATATGACCAATAGAACCCTTTGATAGTATTTAAAATTGCTTTTTAGTAAATTTCCCATCCTGGGGCAAAGTTTTAAGTGCTCTTTTGGAGCACTGTTAAGGTCTTTACTTATATATAATGCCCAGCAGCATGCAATTTTCTCCTTAGGAAAAGAGGGACCTTTGCATGACTATTCCTATAAAATAGAGCTAACGTCTGATTCTGTAGAGTTTTCCTTATTTTCAATTTAAGGTAGATGGAGACACATTTCTTCCTGCCTCTTGTTTACTGTTCTGAGGTTTTACAGATGGCTAGTGTATTAGGTATAATAATTTTGCCTGGATTTTTAACTGAGGGGGTTTGAGAGCCAAGGAACAAAATGTAATGTGTTTTCAAACTTCAGCTTCGCTTATACTGTAACTTTCACAAAGCATCTCCTTAAAAGTCCTGTCCTTGTACAAAATGCATCAAAGAGATGGTGGTGCCTGGGGAATTTTTGAGGTTGGATTTCGGATTTGCATCTTCAAGGGTCCCTTTGAGTGCGCAGTCCGAGGTGCCAGAGACTGCCCAGTCCTCCCTCCCTCTCTCTACTGGCATCCCTCTCCTGGGTCCCTTTGCCTTCCCCCTCCTTGGGTTGATCTTCCATGCTCTGCGAGGTTCCCATACGTTGTAGCGTGTATCTCCTGAAATCCAAGAGAGACCTAGCGCAACTCTCTCTGTACATCTCACGGTGAGGATGCACAGAAAGAGATCTTGTTTTAAAAGGCGATAATTAACATCCAGTCTTCAGTTTTTTCTTCTTTGTCCTATTTTTCTCGGTTAAGACCGGAGATTTAATTTTTGCTAACATGTGCTCCCTTGTCCTTTGACATTATAGTTTAGGAAAGTCACAACTCTCTTCCTTGTCCTTGTTTCCGTTTTCTTAGTTGGGCAATCTCTGTTATATTTTCCCCTTTTCCTTCTCTCTGTCCCCAATTCCCGCCTCATCCGCTCTGTCAGAGCATCTATCAATGTGGTGTCGATCACAGCTGCGGCGGCTTCTCTTTCATCTTCTTTGCCCTGCCAAGGGGAGGGAGGGAGAAGGAGGCGGGAAGGGGGGGGGGCGGGCGAGACTGGCAGAGGAAGGTGCAGGGGGTACAAGAGAAAAGATACTTAGATGATGAAGTTAAACCGTTCTGGCAGAGTTTCTTGTCAATTTCACGCGGGCAAAGGGTGCTTCTCCGTGGGTTACAGGAAGCGCCGGGTCCTTCCTCCTCTCAGCGACTTTCTAGATCCTTTAGGCGCGCGCGCACTCGCTCGCGCGCGCGCAGACACACACACGCGCCGACACACACACACACACGCACACACACAACTAGGACTCGTCCTACAGGCTCTGGGAAAAGAAAAAAAAAAAGTCCTCAATCACCACCTCCTTCTCGCCGCCCCCCCCCCCGCCCCCCCAGCGGGCGGCCAAGGAGAGCTGGAGGCGGGGGAGGGGAGAGGGAGGAGAAGCGACGCAAGTGGGTAGCTTTTCAGCGCCAGCGAGGCGCGGGAGGAGGAGAAGCGGTGGGGAGGCGCAGCCGCTCACCTGCGGGGCCGGGTGCGGAGGAGGGACCTGGGCTCAGCACTGCACTCTCGGTCCGAGGGCCCGGGACGCGCCCGGAGCCTCGAACGCGGCCAGGCTCGGGGCACCCCCCCCTCCCCTCGGCCAGGCGAACCCGAAGGGTGCAGCTCTTTGCCTTGACAGAGCGGCCCGGCGGCGGCGTGGAGCGCGGCGAGCGAGAGCGCCAGGCTGAGAAAGTCGAGCCGGGAACAAAGAGGGGTCGGGCTGTGAGTGCGTGTTTGTCGGCTCGGGCGCCCGGCAGAAGCACTCGGGTCCAAGGCCCCTGCTGTGACTCCCCGAGACCCCGCCGCATCCTCCACTGCCGACTCCCAGCGCCCGCCGGCACAAACTTTATTCTTGGCAAACTTCTTCTCTTTCTCTTCCCTCCTCCTCCTCCTCCCACCCCTCCTCCTCCCCCACCTCCTCCCACCCCTCCTCCTCCCCCACCTCCTCCTCCTCCACCAGCAGATTAAATGCGCCTGGAGAAGGAAAACTGAAGCGAAAGGGAAGGAAATAAGAAGCTTTAAAAACGGACATCTCAACCCGGTGGCTCTTTAATTTTTTTTTTTACCCTCCAGGAAGCGGACATTTCGTTATCTTCTGATTCTCCTTTGCGCCCTGTGTGCTGGGGCAAACGGAGCCTTTGCGCCCAGGTCGCCTTTCTCGGAAAACAAACTCCCAAGTCGGCCACCGGGGAAGCGAGGGTGGAGAGGTTTGCTAGAGACACACGGACCGACCCTCCTCGGCGCGTGGGAGAGTCTTGCCTCCTCCGGAACCGGCGTCCTCCGCGCAGACCCTGGAGGCGCCGGGGGCGTGGGGTGGCCGCCGGGGCAGCCCAGCCTAGCACGCGCCCCGCAGCTCAGACGCCCCCAGAGGCGCCGGCGCCGGCGGCCTTAGCAGCCCAGCGCCCTTCGGCCGCGAGGGCGGGCGCCGGGCTCCGCGGAGTGGAGCGGAGCGGGCCGCCGGGGCTCGGGCACCGCCGCAGCTGCGCCGGCCTGGGGCCGCGGGCCCGGTTTCCGCCCGCTCTTCCCGCTCACGCATCCTTCCAGTTCTCCTTTTCCTCCTCCCCCTTTCGTTGATCCTCTGTCTTTCCTGCTGTCGCCTCGGGGGCTCCTCCTCCAGCGGAGCGGAGATTACAGAGTCGTCGGGATGCCCCAGCTCTCCGGGGCCGGCGGCGGCGGCGGCGGCGGCGGCGGGGGAGACCCGGAACTCTGCGCCACCGACGAGATGATCCCTTTCAAGGATGAGGGCGATCCTCAGAAGGAGAAGATCTTCGCAGAAATCAGCCACCCCGAAGAGGAAGGCGACTTAGCCGACATCAAGTCCTCCTTAGTGAACGAGTCCGAAATCATCCCCGCCAGCAACGGACACGAGGTGAGCGGGCCGCTGCCCCGAGGTCCGAGAGGCGTGGCGGGTCCCCGGGAGGAGCAGAGGAGGAGGAGGGCAGGCGCCGGGCAGCCGGGCAGCCGGGACCGCCGGCCCCGAGGGGGTCCCCCGTTGGCGGGGGTGCGGGTGGGGGTGGGGGCTTGGACGGGCCCCCGGTCAACATTCTTCGCGTGCATGCGTGTGCGTGTGTGTGCATGTGTTGGTGGGAAGCGGAGGAGTGTGCAGGGAAGGTTACGGATCAGTGCTGAGGTTCGAGGAGGAAATTGTTGGCTTGTGGGCAAGACAAGCTGCCCTTAGCCCGTAACGTGTCGCCTGCGGACTTTTTAGCGGGGTTGAGAGGGTGCGAGGCATTAAAGCGGAGATTCCCGAACAACACTAAGAAGTGCTTCCGTGGGACGGAACAAAGTGCACCCCGCGCTCTCCCTCGGTAGATGTCTCTGCAAAAGTGCGTTAAACCACCAAAGGCTTAGGTAGAGAGGAGCAGAGCTGCAGGCGGAGAGGAAGAGGAGGCGGGCGTGGGCCGCGGCCAGGCGGGGCGGTCCCAACCGCCGGGGAGCGCGGTTCGCGCGGAGCCGGCCAGCGGCGGGGGCGCGCGCCTGGGTCTCTGCGGCCGCCGCATCCCTGCGCCCCGGCCGGCGGCTGCTGGGAGCCGTGGGCGCCGCGAGCCGAGCCGAGCCGAGCCGAGCCGCCCTGCGGGGGGCGGGGGGCGGGGGGCGGGGGTGGGGGGCGCCCGGGACCGCGGGCAACACTCGGTCTCTCCAAACCTGGTCACTTAAAGTACAAAAGCGCTTACACTTGGTAAGTTTGAGTGCGGCTCAGGCCTCAAATCTTTGCAGAAGAAAGGGGGGTCAGAGTCGAGATGGGGCGGAACAGGGCACCCACTCAGGGAGTGTGGAAAGCGCTTTATCTGATCTCCTGGGCCGCTGCGGGCGACGGCGCAGGTAACCCAAGTAGAGTAAATAGAGACACGTGAGTGCCGGCGAGGGCGAGCCGCGAGCAGGGCCGCGCGGAAGGGCTATTTTCAGGCGGTGGAGAGTTTCGGGAAGGGGGGTTGGGGTGGGCGGATGGACCCTGATACCCGACACTCCACCGGCCACCCTCGTTTAACAACTGGGAAACGAGCGCTTTGGAGGAAATCCGGTAGAAAAGTCCTGACGCTCAAATGATTTCACCAACGCTTTTTCCCTCCAAAGAAACTTGGAGGGTATACCCTTTTCCCTTAAATGGCATCCTTCTGCCCCCAAAAAGAAAGCCTGTGGTTTTGGGGGCGGGGACATTTTGGGTTTTAAACAACACGTTTAAGAACACTTCAGACTTACCTTCTTAATACCAATGGCGGGGGTGAGTACGCATTTGGAAGCCTGGGGGGCCTGGGTTCTAAGAACACAAGGGCGCTCGCGATCCTGATCCTCGTATCTTTCATTACAACACTCCAATTTGAAGGGGGGGGGGCTAGGGTGCACGCAACTCCACTTAAAGGGTTTGTGAATATGCATTTGGGGGAGAAGGTTACCTGGAGGACATATGTCCAAGGAACCAAATGACATCTGAAACAGAAGCAAACTCTTGCATTTATAGAGCAGCATCTTTTTCTGCTCGTTTTGCTTGTCCTTTCGTATTCCATGAATAAATCTGCCACCCACTTCACATTTTCCGTTTTTGCTCTGGGAAGAAGGGTCCTACAGTTTGAAGCATAGAACCCAGGGATTAAGGCCCTGTTAATCTTTGCCAAGGTTGTAAGTGGGCATGGGGCAGACCAGGGAAGATGGTGAATGGGTAATACCACTGATTTGCACGTGGTTGAGTCTGGGTGGATGGTGGTTACCAGAACTGATATTAACTGGGCTACCTTTTAGATGTTTATAACTCAAGTCTCGAATTTTCCTCCCTTTAACCGCAGAGTAGTTCACTTTTTTTCTTGTCAGCTTGCACTCAGCCAGCTGTGGTAGGTTTTAGGGAGGGGGTCTCCTGCTGGGACTGGTTTAGGACAGTCACCTTAAGACCCCTACCTGTAAGTGCCTAGTTTTTATTTTATTTTAGTTGCAAAATGGTATTTCTGCCCAATTTTAATTGGCTCTGATCGACCGTTCACAGTGGTTAAAGAAGCTATCAAAAGAATGAACTCCATTAAGTCAAACTCCTATCATACTAGGTATCTAAGTAGCCTTGATGTGTTGTAATAATCAGCAGTCAGAGGAGCATGCGGATCTTTCCCAGATTTACTATACTGTTACTGTTTTTCTTAGTATTATTTATACTTTCTAGTCTTGGGTATATAATAATCACTTTAAAAATATGTGTTGAAAAGAAAAAGCAAAAGATTTCCAGGTTCTCAGCCCTAGCCTATCCCACTTAGGTTGATAAGATAGGTAGGTTGAGCCTCACCCAGTCCTCCTCCTTTGAATTACCAGTGGATACACACTTAATCACAAACTCACAGTTGGTTTTCTTTTTTTTGGGGATGGGGATTCTTGCTGTTAGGTGGCCAGACAAGCACAAACCTCTCAGGAGTCCTACCACGACAAGGCCAGAGAACACCCTGATGACGGTAAGACACTAATTCTGTTTCTCCCAAGTTTATCATTTAATAGGTGCAATTTGTGAATATAGGTATATTTCTGATTTTTATTTGAGCCCAAGAAACAGGAATCAGATGTGATAAGACGGTGCCCACTGTTTTAACAAAATGGGAAAGAAAACCCAGGAAACTCACTGCCTATTTCTCATGTATGATTTAAAAACTGTCTCTGAATGAGTTAGGGGCCTTTGGATTTTAGTTGGCTTCTAGATTCTCTGTGGAAGAGGAAATGTCTATAATTTTTCCTTTTTTCCTTTTTTTTTAGCCCAAGTTCTAATTGGCTTCGAACTTTAGTACTTTTTTCTGCATTGTACAGTGACAGTCTATACCAATTTATTTTCCAACAAGAATAGTTTCAAATGGATTTTCATTTGTAAAATTGCTGTTTCTTGTTGTAGTGAGAGGGCAGGCAGTGAACGTACAGACTAAATATGGCTCAGTAAATCAGAATCTAATTTGTAAAAATATAAAACTTTATTCTTAGAATTAGGACCTTTGCATGTGGAACATTATTATAGACTTTCTCCCCGTTTCTAATTCTTACTCAAAACTTTAAAAATTGCATATATTTTTTAGATTTAACTAGAACTCCTTGTGACTTTAGAATAATCAAGTAATCTGTAGGGTTTTCTTGTTGAATAGTCTGCATTTCTATTTTCCTTTGCTTACAGTTGGTTTGACCAGAATGGAGTGTTCATATACAATCAGTCAGCTAGGAAAAGAGGGAAGAGAAGTATAATATCAGACTTTCTTCAGAGCTGCAAAGGAGTTATACAGATTAAGAAATGTATATGTTAAACACACAGATTTCTTTGGCAGAATGGTGTAGTATGTAAAAATAAGTCTCCTGGAGTTGATCCTTCATAAATTTGGGTAATTGTCCATCTACTAGATATAACTCTTTCTCCCTCAATAAAATCTAGAAATTTTTTTAGAAATCTAGTAGCACAGGTAGAATTTTTTACTTTGTTGCTAAGGTGGAGCATAACTTCAGGTGTGTAAATATATGTGTGTGTGTGTGTATGGCTAGATGGCCTAATGTGTTTATAAGACAGCTTTAGGTTTTGTGTGTTCTTTCACATGTGTATGTTTCTTGGTCCAGTTTGTTAGTTTTAGAACAAATTAAGTTAGTTGAATAACACTTATTTTTGTAAAAACACCAGTCAGTAGTGGAAGTAAATTGAACCACATGTTTTTAAAACATCTGTTTCACTGCTAAGCCATTTAAGAGAATAAATGCTGTCAATCTAAAATAGAGCATAATAATCCAGTTACAGTATTTTGTAAACAAATCCATTATGTAAGGTCTGGTTTGTCATAGAACTATTAGATTTTCAGATGAAAAATACACTGATATAAAAAGGAAGTCAGTGCATCATTGATTGTTATTTGGATTCCCTCAGGAAAGCATCCAGATGGAGGCCTCTACAACAAGGGACCCTCCTACTCGAGCTATTCCGGGTACATAATGATGCCAAATATGAATAATGACCCATACATGTCCAATGGATCTCTTTCTCCACCCATCCCAAGAACAGTGAGTAACACAATGATGATGCAAATTATTTTCAGAAGCGCAAGCTAATTTATATTTTAGCAAAATAGTTGTTTTTTAAAACACATTGGAAGTACATTCATTCTATGTGAGGAGTTATTAGTAAATAAGACCTGCTGTGAGGAATGGCTGCCTTAAGAGAGTGCTACCTTTGATGTCTTACACTTGGAATCTTAGCTTTTGTCTTACTGGTTAAGATGCATAAATAACAAATCTCCAGTTATCATGAAAGCAAGCAAAGTTAAATCAACAAATTCATGATTTTATATGTATTGTGCTTTTTATGCTGATGAGAGGAAAAATTGATTTAATTTTTCAGTTAGCTATGTACTGTATAGCTTTCACTGCCCATAGCTATCTAGAATCAGAACTACTTTAGCTTATTTGGGGCTGAACATTTAGAATGTTACTTCAGCTTTTAAGATAGTGTCTCATTTTGTTGCATTATCTGATGTTTTTTAAAAAGTCATTTGGGGGGGGGGTGCCTGGGTGGCTCAGTCAGTTAAGCGATTGACTGGGTTTCAGCTCCAGTGATGAGCTCAAGCCTCTGGTCAGGCTCTGTGCTTAGCATGGAATCTGCTTGGGACTCAATCTCTCTCTCTCTCTCTCTCTCTCTCTCAATCTCTTTCAAATAAATACATTAAAAAAAAAACAGTTGGCAAGGGGGTGGGGATAAGTGTTGAGAAAATACCACTTGAAGATAACTCCAATGAATATTGTTCTTTTTATCTCATGGCTCAGTTAACTTTCAAAGTTCTAAAAATGCAATAGCAACATAACTGCATTTTGCAAATGTTTAGCACTGTGAAGAATTTCAAATATATCATTTGATGATATTTCTCTTTTGTTGGGAAGTGGAAACATCATTTATATAGTAAGAAAACACCTAAAGGGTAACTTACATACTGTGTGAATGTGAAATGTGCTGGTGATGGAGTTCTCCCTGAGAATCGTCTCTCTCATGGTAGTGATGGATTTTCACTGATCTGTCAATATATTTACCCTATTTCAGCCTTTTTCTCCCTCTATCACCTAGCCTCCAGTGAAGAACGTGTGTGTGCGTGTGTGTGTGTGTGTACAGGGTCTTGAGGATTAGGGTTTCAGTATGGCTGGCCTTCTAAGGAAACCCAGGATTGTGAAGATGGAACCCTATGGTCTTAGCCTTATTAGTCCAGTGCTTTCACAATGTGAAAAAAAATTCAGTCATGGACATCTAGGGAAAGTACTACTAACAATACCTCAGTGAACAGAATCTGGGATCTAGAAGATCCATCAAAGTAGCAGAGAGGAATCAATTATCAACAAGAGTATTTGTGTGATTATTTGTAGTCTCCAATTGTTAGAATGATAGGTATATGAAATAAATATGCTCTGTGTGGGCACTGTGATTTGGAAGTTCCTGTAATTATTTTTCCATAAATTTCAAAAAGATACTTGAACTTTCAAGTAGGAAATAAGATATTTCTGATTTTCATATAGCAGTTAAAATGGTGACCTTGGAGATTTTATGACGGTTGTCATAGGAAATAGTGTTTTCACATTTTATTTTAAAAGGCTTTTCAAATATTTAATGGTAGAAGTGTCTGTTGTGCATATGAATGTCCTGCCTAAGAAGTGACTAATAAAAGCAAATACAGTTTAATAATTAGGGACTACCCCCAAATAAATGCTTCTGAGTTTTAAAACTTGTAGGAGATTTTTCTGTTTGTTGAACTAAATAATGCAAACGTATCAGATACTTTTTTTAATAGTTGGGACTGTTTTTTTTTTTTAAATGGTGAAGAGGAGAATATGTTTTAGATAAGGAATAATTGAAGATTTTTGTTGAAAGGCTTTTGAGAACAACAAATAATCTTTCTGACAAATCTAAATTGTAGTCTCTGACTTAGTAACATTAGAAAATAGCCCCTAAAATGATCTTAAAACATTTTTCAGCTGTAAACACGGTTAATGCTTAATAAGTATCTGTGGGCTTTATTCCTTAGTTAAGGCACTTCTTTCAAAACAATAATCTATTAAAAGTCAATATAATAAAAATCTGGTATAAATTATCCCTCAGCATCTTGAAAATTAAGCATTTCTTCTTTATTTATTTTAAAGATTCTGTTTATTCATGAGAGACAGAGAGAGTGAGGCAGAGACACAGGCAGAGGGAGAAGCAGGCTCCATGCAGGGAGCCTGACATGGGACTTGATCCCAGGGTCTTTAGGATCAGGCCCTGGGCTGAAGGCAGTGCTAAACCGCTGAGCCACCGGGGCTACCCAGCATTTCTTCTTTAATCAGATTTCGCCTTTAGGTCTCCTGCCCCCCCCCCATACTAATCATTTTGAAATTTTGATAGCATAGAAGGTATTTATTGTTAGTACATATATTAAAATTTTGAGGTCAGTGAATTGAACAGTCATTCATTGTTTAGGAAAGATTTTGTGGCCAGAACAATGTTGGTGGGTGTAGGGTGGAGGAAAGGGGTGTGGTCAGGAAACAGTTACCTTACCTTGTTATCTGCTTTGGTTTATTCTGTTACATTTTAGAATGCATTTATTTTAGACACATCGTCTTGCGATATTCTGCAGTTTGCACAATTACAGAATCTTTTCCGTTTTAACCACAAGGCTACATCCATTTTTTTTTTTTAAAGGTCCTACCAAAGTGAGTTGCAGTCTTTGGTTCTTAATACCCAACAGCTGTTTTTAATGTGTTTGAGATCCAAAACACTAACCGGAAGGCAGCCTCTCTTATTCACCCCTAACCATGCTTCTGCCTTCTAGTTCTTTAACTCTGTCCTTAGCAGGACTTGGTGTTTGTGTAGCTGACATCCTCAGTGTTAAGTTTTCATCTAGGGTGTCAGGAGCAGGGTGACCATTTGTGTTTGAGCTTAAGGTGAGACCATACTTGAATTTGCATTACAAACGACTGCTTGTTTACTACATCTGCTGGTTGCAGGTGTTAGGGCCGGAAAAACATCTGGGGGTGGGGAGGGCCCTGACTGTCCCTTCCTCTCATAGAATTCTCTTTTTATATGTAACTGCATATAAATTCAGTTACATGCAGCTAGGGTCAATTGGCATGCACAGAAGTGTTTCTGTTGGTAGCTCATTTAAACGACTCTACATGCTTTTGCTCAGTTTTAGACAAATACTGACCTATGTATGCTTGCGCAGCTTTTTACTTATGACCTAACTACAGTATCACCTACTCAAGAGAATGAAGCATTTTTTACCAATACAGCTTTTTCCCTTCTGTAGGGAAATTTTAATTGGTTAATTATATCCTTCAAAACTGGAATTCTTAGAGGTGTGTTTATACCAAAAATCTTATGAATGAGTGTCTCACAGAATTTTAAATAAGAATTCTTAGTTCAGATAAATCAGGCCTAACAAGAAAGTACCTATAATAACACATTTGGTGTCAGTTCTCATAAAGCACAGTGAACCTTGGCTTGAGTTGGTGGTTTTCATAGACAGTAAGAAGATGCCGAAGCTTGTTAAATATTTCAGAGCAAGGACCCTAGAGAATTTATTAAAAGCGTACTCCCAAGCCTTTCTTTCCGCGAGTGTTATTTATGGCAATCCCTGTAGGCCAATGGTAAAGTATTAAAAGAAAAAAATAATTTGTTACCTCCGTTGGGTCCTAGCACTTGGGTGCCTGAATACCATGTGAGCAGTGAGTTTGTCTTCAACATAGTGAAAGTTCCCACTGGCCTAATACGCTGTGGTTATTAATCTTAGGTGTCAAACTTACATCTGTCCTTTAGGCAACCCAAGTTTTTAACACCTCTGAAGGGAAACATCTCGTTTCTCTTCAGACGCTCGGGGAGGGCCAAGCAGCAGACTTGGTGCAGGAAGCTACAGCGAATGTTGCAGCGGGGTCACACCAACCGCAGTAACACCTGGCCAGCCCGTGCTGCTGACTTTATTGTGTTTGTTTCTTTGTGCTCTTTCTGAGGATCGACTTTTAGGTGGGAAAGGAAGATGCTGTTTTTTGTCTTTCCTGTTTTCCTTCTTTTTAGTAGACATTGCCATTAAAGTGTTTCAGGGAATCTTTTTTCATTATCTTGAGCATCTCAGTTTTACTCTATGGTTTTTACTTTAAGGGAATCATTAATTTGATTTCTGATGAACAGAATTATACCATTATAACTACATCTTAACCTACCTCCATGTTTGTATTTGCTTATAAACAGCTGAAATTTGATTTTTTTTGTTATTGCCATATCTGAATTAGGAACTAAATATGCTTATGCTTATCAGGATGCTTATGTTTATGCCACTGTTTATTCCACTGTACTTCACATTGCTGCATAGCTTTGAAAATACAGAAATAATAAGGAATAGAGGGAGAGTATGGCATATATTTTGAGCAAGATTTTTAAGATGGAGTATCTTCACCTTACTACAAGAAGCTACTTAATTTGACTTAGTGATAAATTATTTTAAATTTTCTAATCTAACTTGCATACTTCTGAAGCTAAGTATATTAAATTTTCCTCTTTACCCCAAGTGTGGGAGAAGCTAAATTTTAGAAGGTGCGTTTTATCTCAGATTTGAATGTGAATTATCAGGAGAATGTGTGGGAAATTCCTCAGAGCCTTCAAACTCTTCTGTTTGATTCATTTTTAATTGTACTGCTGCTATAAAGTTGGGAAGGATCTCAGTCAGAATAATTGGAAGCTGTTGCCACCCCCATTCCCCCAACTTCATATATCTTAGATAATCTCATGACCAAACAGTTTGCTTATGCAAGTGTCCCAGGGAGCCATACTACCTACATATGATCCTTCAGGAGCTAATACTGTACTTGTATGACTTGTGTGGCCAGAGTATGATCCTCATTCATCAATGCTTTTTTTTTTTTCAGAATGACTCTAGAAATTTCTTGTTCATTCAAAAACATGGGAATAACCCAATTCACTAAAACAAGACCATTAAGCCAACCTGCCGAAAATCTTACTCTTTGAAGTACCTGCTCGCATATAGGTCCTG